TACGACACCGTTGTGAATACCTCAATTGTTTCAAAAAAATTATATAAAAAACTCAGTGCAATGCAGAAAAACCGTATGGGCAACAAATTAAAGAGAAAATCTATAGAACTTAGGCAGATTAAATTTTTTGATGTTTTTAAGTATTGATAATGTAGATTTTTAGGACTAATATACGAATTTCGTCCTTCCAACTTCATAAGCTAAAAAAATAAAAGTAATTAAAAGGACATTTTGGCAATTTTTGGTATTGACCCATTCATCCTCGTAAATCAAAAAAAAAAAAAAAAATGTCTACATCCACAGAATTTTCTCTTTAATTTGGTGCACATATTGTTATTCTGCATTGCACTTAATTTTTTAAATAATTTTTTGAATATCTTCGAAATTAAAAAAAAGATGTACATACATATATTGATTGCTTCGTGTGTTTCGATTTTTGTTTGGTTTTTGTCACACAGGGTGTAATCGATATATCCAAAAGGGATTAGGCATGCCAGAATACCAATTTTTGTGCTGTTATTCATCAATATAATAAAACTCTATGAAAAGTGGGAATTATAAAAAAAAATTTAGCTAAAATAGCTAACTCGATTGAAAAAAGCTAAAATAGTAACTAACAGCAAAACGCAAAATTCTATAGCTAAAAGTCGAAAATAATAGCTAAATCTAACTACAAAATAACTAAACTGGCAGCACTGATTCCTATAACAGCTATTTGAACGCATCGTCGAGCGGAAGCAGTGCTGGGTCTTAATCAATTAATTTTTTAACCATATTTTTTTAATTGCACGTTACAATTAAATTAATTTTTTAATAACAATTAACTTACTTATAAATAAAATAAGAGATACGGTATAGGCCTGGGATGTGGATGACTATAATATTCATGTCCCAGACCTATATAATAGGCATTTTTAATCGTTAATTTTCAATAAAATACAGAAAATTAAAAAAGTTAATTGTAATTCTCCATAATTACAATTAACCAATTAGTAATTGTAGTGGTAGCAATTAACGATTTATAAATTGTTAATTGGCCTTACAATTAAAATTTGCCCAACACCGGACCGGAAGGAAACTAATAAAAGGCCGCAATGGAAGAAATCATGCTTGTATCGTGTATTGATAAATAAATCAAAAAATTGGCTTGACACACCGTTTGTTTCGTGTTTGGCTTTATTATAAACCTTTAAATACTGAATATCACGAATTGAGTTCGCCTAAGTAAATAAAAAAATTTGAGATGTACGTGGTATTAAATATATAGATTTATATTTATTGCGTTTGTATAAGTGTTATCAAAAACAATTAAGCTTTAGTATAAACCACTATTCAAGCATACTTACACTTTTATTAAGTATACATATTACATATATACATACATTTTGTTTAGTAAGTTAAATTTGTAGAATAATTTGCTAGTTGAAAATCGGCAGGAAGGAAAGCGCTCTGTATTATCCATGGGTAGTGTTATTTCGAAAACAATTTATTTTATATAAGTTTGTATTATGAAAAACAAAAAAAAAAGTACAGGAAGGACAAATTATAAATTGCAATCGCTTTTATTGAAACAATCCATAACAGTGCATTTTTTATCAATACAAAAAGTTCACAAAATATATCGATAAAAAAATAGTGTAAGAGGGAAAGACATAAAAAAGTTACGTTATACAAAAATAAGGTAATACATTTAAAACACAAACCGTGTGCTCGATTTGAAAAGAATAAAGTAAACAAACAGCTTTTAAGACAAACAAAACATAAAAAGTACAGAAATAATAGGCGGTATGAATAAAAATTTAATAAATTTCACAACTCTTGCTTCAAACTTGTTTGAATAAATTGGGTAAAAGGTCTGAAATTTTAGAAAAATATTTGTTAGTTATTACTCATGCGAAATTTAAAAAATAATAATAACTACATTATCTTAAAATACCGTGTCATGTTTATGTACATAAGCTATGTATGTTCACTGCTGTTTTTTGCATTCCACGATTCCTTTCAAAATGCGCTTACAAACACTTGCCAACGAAATAATGCTATGTTTAAGACATTTATTTTTACTGATTAGCGCAGCTTTTTGAATTTACCGTACAATATTTGGCCTCTTTCAAGTTTCACGCATGACCTAAGATGGGTTTTTTTACTTAGTACAAAAATTTACAAGTTTTTGTAAGTTTTTCATTATCAAAAAATTTCTATATAAATACATACATACATACATATGTATGTAATTATGCAATTATTTATGTATAAGTATTAGTATTCCTTGTCTCATATCTAATGCATTTTTATATTTTGTAATTATGTATGTATGTTCATATGTTTTGTAAAAATACGTTATTAATTTGGCATATATTTTGTATAAATATGTTAGTTCTATATATTAAAAAGGACAGCTCGCATGTTGGACGTACAGCATAAGTATATGCACATATATGTATGTAAATAATCGCGCTTAAAATAAGTATTTTAAATTTTGATATTCACGTTTTTTGCTCCATTTTTCCATACATTCTTTTCTAGGTTTGTTCAGCAAAAATGAATTTTATATTCAAAATTCTGCTATCGAATTACAAAATGCGTTTTTTAAAAAGTATTGATTCAAAATTTGTCACTTTTGATATTATGCAACGAAGCCGAAGCGTCCCATATAATTAACATGGCTTAAGAAATAACCTTTTGTGTTTTTGAAAAAAAAAAAAACGGAGAACTTTGAATTGATACACTTTTGAAGAACGTGTGCCTTTGAATTTTTTTAGAATGTTTAATCATTCGTTCTAGTGAGTTTTTTTTTTTTAATTTTGTTGTTAAGAGCATGGGCAAATAATTGAAGACTGCAAGCCAGTTATTGTAACCAATACTAAAATTATAAATATTAGAGAAAAAAATTAATTTAATTTTTTTTGAATGAAGAAATTTCGCGTACTACCCTTTTTAACCGACTTCCAAAAAAGGAGAAGGTTATCAGTTCGTCGGAATATTTTTTATTTATTTTTTTTAATTTTATTTTATTTTTATGTATTATTATGATTGAAAGATTTCGATAATTCTTTTTGCATCGGAAAGGTAGTGTCTCAGAGGTGGTCCCATACTAATATGGTTAAGATGCGATCAGTGGATCATGAGATATATATATATATATATATATTTTTTTTTATATGAGAGTTGAAGTCGGTTTTCTTTTGCTAAAAATTACTTGTTTATTCCTCAATTACTCGATCATCGCATTTACATACACATATACATATATTTGTTAAAACAGCAGCGTGTAAACGAATACCAAAAATATTTATCTTTATGTGAGCAGCAACAACTGACTTTGAATACATGTTTATAACTTTTATAGATTGTTTTTTTTTTTTTATACAACGCGAAAATTTGTGAGCTTTCAAAGGCAGTAACGGCGGGAGCAAAAAAAACACATACTTATCTATATAAAGTTACTAACAATTAACGGTAACTACATAATATGTTTATTTACGAAAATACAAAAATATCGTGTTAGCCAATAAACATTTGTTTTAGATTGCGCCAGGTTTGGGTGGTCGGTTAGGTCAGTCTGAAATAATTTCCTTTCATGAAACCCCAATGGACAATTTTGCAATAGTTTATTGCGTTAGATGCTGTACACCGGTTCATCACAAGTTCTGCATTGTGTGCATTTTTTACACATGCACGGGCTTACGCGAGTTGTGTATGATCTCAGTATAAGCAACGTATAAAAAAAAACAAGACGTAAAAATTAAAATTTCTTCGCTGATCGTAATATTACGACCGAAGCAGAGTAAAGAAGTTAGCATGAAGATCTTGGACAGGGCAGAAAACATAGCAACTCGCCCACTGTAAATAACATGCTCGCTTAGCGACTATAGCTGTTAAGCTCGTTCAGGGTTTTTAAAGCAATGCCTCGGTTTTGATTAATGTGCTGTTCGATTCGTTACTTGGTAAGTGGTCGGCGAATCGTAGGCGGCTATAGAACACGAAATTCACGACAGCTACGAGCAATGGCCAAGTGAACACATTGCTGAAGTAAGGGGAGGTACAACCGCTTTGGCGTAGCCTGTCTTCCTAAGGGTAGAAGTCTATACCAAGCCTTATTGCCTTCAGCGCTCCAGCCGCAATATAAAGCGTATAGCTGAATAAAGTGCGAAAGCCTGAAAAGTAGTAGACGCCGAGACAAATTTTGTGGAGTTCTACTCTAACCCGCCATAAATTTAGATTTCAACGCAAGTAGACGTGCTCTTTCTGAATATTGTTTATTCTGTGGTATCATGCGATTGCTGTCATAATAGCCAATATGCTTGTCCTTACGAAATCACTTTTAAAATACACTATAATGAAACTGATTAGAAGGTATACAATTCTGCGTACTCAATCAATGTAATAAAGATAACTACATCGTATCATTTCAGAACTTTTCCTTCAGAGCTTATAAGCCAGCTAGCAATGCAAAAAGTTTTGAACCTTTAAAACTCTGTGAAAATTTCATTATATCAGTCACAAAATGATTTCTTTTGTGTGTGTGTGCTGTGTGCTGTGTGCTGGTGTGGAAAATAAATATTTTTACGATTTAAACTACTCTTTTACAATGGTAATATACAAATTATCGATTTGCTTTATTTTCAGTTGTTTGATTTACAGACAACAACTTTTAACGATTTTTCTAATAAGTTTTCCTTAACATTTTCTTGTTTTAAATTTTTGTTATTTGCGATATTTTGCGTCTAACTAAAGCATAAATGTAATTCTTAAAAGGGTGTGTGTGTGTTCTTATGTGTGTGTGTGTGTGTATGTGGACAATTTACAAACAATATTTTATTGAGTTTATTTAAAAATGTAACAATGAAAATGTTTCTTTCTGGTTTTGTTTTTTTATATAATGTAAAATTAAAAGGTGGAAAAGCTACAAGTATTATTTTAAAATAAATTAAAAACGATAAAATATAATATTAATTTTAATACAAACGAAACATATTTTGAATCGATAAAGCGTCGCGGAGCAAGTTTAATTAAAAATAAGCATATATATAAATTTAATTAAATTCATCGTCGTTCGCGGTGGTCGGGTGACTCTGATCGTTGGCACTGCTATTGTCGTTGCTTTCTTTTTGCGCGCCGCCGCCCTCGGTTGCCGCCTTCGACGAAGAGGAGTTGCCGTTGCCGGCTGAGACTGCTGCCGCCGCTGGTCGTGCATCGACATCGTCGGCCTCTTGCGCGCGCACAGCCGCTTCCAGCGCGCGTATACGATTCTCATGCTTCACAATGATCGCCTTTAGCTTGCGTATTTCATCGGTGATATCACGCAGATCCCTTTCCTTAAAATGTAGTTCGAAAGTTTGTTTGTATTAAAAATGCAATACATTTATTATTTATTTATACTTACGCTGACCCCACTAACCACGCCGCCACCGCCGGACGCGCTCGATGCATTGTTGTTAATCGATGTAGCATGATTGCCCCCTCCAATCGATGCACTGGTCGCACTCTTCGAGGTACCCGCCGAAGCTTTGTTGAGGATATTCGCTTTCTTCGACACTGACAGCGACTTGCTGGCCGATTGTGAGACATAGCCACCCTGTACAATAGAGACACGATCCTATTTGAGTGATTTAGTAATACTGTTCCGCCCGCTATGGGAGCGGAAAATTGAAAAATAACAAGGAACACAACGAAAACACAACGACGCCGCACAACGTGCGTGTTAGCGATGGGGATGAACCGTAATGTAGAATGTTGGGTGGATTGTTTTGTTTGAATGGCATGCGTTTTGAGAATTGCCCTGTTGATGTACATATGTATGTATGTATGTTTTTGTATGTATGAATGCGTATGTGAAATGATGCATTTGATTTTATTATATTTTAATTATAAGGTTTTTTTTTTTTACAGATTTCCAGGTTTTTAGTGCCCAAAACTATATGAAGATGTGTTATATGGAATATGTTATGTTGAGTGGCGGCTCTTAAAGCCACTTTCGTATATATGAATATTGGCTATTTAGTTTATGTTTATGTTTTTTATAAAGAAAAGTTGTGTCTTCTGGTTTATGCTTTAATCACATGGTATCTGTTAAGTGTTTGAATGGAAAGCGCAAATGTACTGGCACATAGTTAAAAACATTTTGAAGTAACATCCAAACAAAACTCTTGCAAAATTTAAAAAATTAGGCAAATGCATATATGTAATGTTATTAAAGGTAGTTTTCCAAACATGTCAAGCCAAAGTATGCAGCCATTAAAAGAACCAAAACTATGAATAACAAAATTTTATCAAAGTTCAAAATTGGAATACAGATTTTCAGGCGTCATATTGTGTGTAAAGATCAGATATTTGGGAAAATATATAATGAAAAGATAGTAACGGAATAAACACGGAAACGAAATTCAAGAAAATATGCCAATGATCCGGATTTATATTTTTTTTTTTTTAACTACATTAAGAAGTTGGAGGGCTGAACGGAATCATTAACACTCAGTCCCTAGAATACACCGAGCAATCTACATACAGTTATATATGTAAAAATGCCTTTAGACGGAGCAATGCAAGTGGGTTAACGAATCCAGTGTTGCCATGTGACGCGATTCTTGGCGAATATTGCATCACATATTAAAAAAAATAATTGCAATTAATTTATTCTCCTGATATGAATTATGTAATGCATTCGACAATTAGTGGCTGTTTAGTGCATTTTTAACAAATTTTCCAGGTAAGTAATTCTGTTATAAGCAACAAATTTCTAGTTGAGAGTGCATTTAACATGTAAACAGACCAAAATTAGTACGGAAAGTTCGACCTCCTGAAATAAAAACTGCCTTCGAAAGTCACTTTACATGTAACGTGTAATTGCTCCTGCAATCCCTTTTAGAAATTGTTGAGTTTGACAATTTTTTCAAACAAAACTTTACTGCTGATTTTAGACAAATGGCAAGCTATTTATAAAGTTGCTACTTAAACTCTTGATCGGCGGTGGAGTCGTAATACTTCTTTTGGAGAAGAGCATTAAACTCCAACTGTACTAACAACATCTTCTTTATTTGCGAAGTAACCGCAGAATGGAATTTAATTTGTGAAGGCCGATCAAGAAAAAGTGCGATTTAAGTTGATTTCGCTGGCATTGAGCTAACCAAATGATACCAGCTTTGGGTTGTATTGTATGACTATAGTTTTTTTTCTTCAAATCGAAAGCTGGCTCCTGCAAACATCAGATATGCAATTATAACTAGTTGTAACTAGTAGCAACACTTTAAACGTGATTGTGCCCGAAAAGGAATTTACCCTCTCGCAGTGGACTAGGTCGTTTAACAATCCAGCACCGACAATGTATTCCAATTTTTCATAGCATTCAATGGCACACTCCGCACCCGATACACTTACTTTTAGCGAAAATGTTAGTGGATCCACATCATTTCCAGCGATCCATTCTTCAGCCGTTTGTGCCGCATCTTCAGCCAATGTATCTGGATATAAATCCTCTTGGAAGAGATCCGATTTACGCGGCACTGTCATCGAGATCACCTGACACAAACCGTTATTATTCAGCCGGTAAAATTTGGCAATTTCGCAGGTTGTGACATCGCAGCCACGCTTTGGCATCATACCAATACCACGTTGTGGATCTGGCGTTTGAAATGTGTTGATGTAGTGCACGAACGGTGGCTCCGGCGTTATCTGAAGAGCAATCACAATATGCATACATATGTACATATAACGCAAATTCAAAGAAATTAAAGTGTAACAAACTCATTGTAATTACCTCAAAATAACGTATGACTGAATCACCTTTACCGCACAGGAAAATTAAATTCGTGTCTGCATCGTAGAGTGGGAACATCACACCGTTCGATGTGTCCAATTCGACCATAACAATGGGTTCATTGAGTGCATCTGGCGCGCGCAACGAGTACTGACGTTCCGATGAACGATTGAAACCGGTGGTGAAGATGAGTCCATGACGCAGGAAGATGGCGCGTGTCGCCTTCGAGCCTTCATGACAAAGTGCTTCGCTATCTATTTCACCGGTACGGGGGTCATAGATGCGAATCTTTTTATCCTTGCAGGTGGTTACCAACTTTGAGCCGTCCCAATTGAAGCAAGCGCTATATACAACATCCGGATGGGAGTCGATATGAACGAGTATTTCGCCGGTGCCCACATTCCAAATGACAACCTTTAGAAAAATATTTTTATTTTCAAAGTTTTGTTAATTGGTGGTCAAAATTTCGCCATGCCTACCTGATTATCAGAGCCCGCTGTCAGCAACACGTTCAGCGCAGACGGATGCCACAGCACAAGTCCGACACGACGTTGATGGAACACCAAATCCACGACTGGCTCGGTAAGTGTACGCGACAGACCACCATCGGGTATTTGCCAAACTTTAACCACACAATCCTCAGAACCAGAGGCAATAACATTATCATTGTGCGGACACCAGGCAATATCCAGCACGGGTCCTTTATGGCCACCCACCAATGGGTGATCGGCAGCTATGCGACCAACCTGAAAGTGTCAAAATAGAAAGAAAAATAAACTCACTTTAAAATAAGTTGTCACACGAATGCAGACAAACAGAAAATACGTATATATGCACAAATATGCTACATTCAGTCAGAAGTACTAAATGTACGGTGGCGGGCGATCAAGTGGGGTCGCGAAATTTTACACAAGTGTTGGCTGTTATTTTTTATTTGTTTTTTGTATAACAGCCTATCTCACTATCTAACAACAACCATTTAAGTCAAATTTTAAACTTTGTACAAGTTTCATAAAAATTCGACGAATTTCAACAAATGCTCATCGAAATTTCAAACTTTTTATTCAGAATTAAAAAAATCCTGGTATGCAGTTTTGTTGCCCCTTAAATTAAAGTGCAAGTTTGAAGTAGCTGGGACTTACCGATGGATTTTTTTTTGCTTGCATTGTGCTTTTTCCTCCATAAAAACAATGTCAACATACTTTGAATGGAAGAAAATGCGTGACACCATTAGCAAAAGAAGATTGCCGAAAATCAACTAGCTTCTTCACACTTTATTATACTAAAATTTTATTGGCTACTAAACTGCATATAATTTTTTTTTTTTTTTTTTTGTTAATTCGGATCAAAAAGCTATGTCGAATTTTCCCAATTTTTGTATAAAGTTTAAAATTCAGACTTACATGGTTTTTGTTACAAACTGAGCTATACATTCATAAAAAAAATAATTAACATTAAATAAAGAAAATAAAAATAACCAAAACTTCTTAAACTGCCGCATCCCTATTTATTTATCCGCCACCGAACATACATAAGTGCGCAAAATAAATAAATAATAAAATAAACGAAAGCAAAATTTTTAAAACAGCTGAAGCGAAAACTATTCTATTTTTGCATACGAGTGCCAAATTAATTATTTAGATGGCTACACCCGCGCACGTCCGTCAAAAAAATAGTCATGACAGTAGCAGTAGCCATAGCAAGTTTCAGTGGCCATACATGCCTGTGTTCGCATTAATACCGTATGCATAAATAACTTGTCTGTCCGCGTATGATGACGCTTTGTCAACCTCATTTCCTAATTTCACCCAGCACAGCACAACAAACAACATACGACGAGTGTAGTTTATTTTCTATGCGCACACACTTTTTTTATCCACCTCTTTGCTTTCTCTAGTTTTTTTTTTTGTTTGTTTCTTTTTGTGTACATGCGTACGAGTATTTTAAAATCTTCAGCGTTT